TTTCGATGTTGCATTAATTACTTTATTACTCCATTATTTTGTGGTTTGGGGGTTTTCTCTAAATTGTTATGAAGATTCTTATTGCTTCTTTCATTTCTTTTATGGAAGGTGGAGGCGCTATTAACTCTAAGGCAGTTAAATTGCAGTTTTCATAATCTCAAAAGATACAAAAGGCGCTAGTTTTCAACAACTGACATGGACGTAGTTGAGACTTGTGGAGAAGGAATTCTTTCTTCGGCAGGGCCTTCCGTCCAATGTAGCTTGCCATCAATCGATGAGGAAGTTGTGGGCTTTGAGAAAGATGCAGAAAGTATAATGAAGAAATTGATTGGAGGAACAAAGGAGCTGGACGTTATCTCAATCTTTGGAATGCCAGGATTGGGTAAAACAACCTTGGCCAGGAAAGTGTATAACAATCCTTCTATTGTTAATCACTTTGATGCTAGAGTATGGTGCTCTGTTTCGCAAACATATATAGAGAGGACATTGTTGATTGAGATTCTTAAACAAGCTACAGGTGGCAACTATGAAATCAAAGAGGACGATGACATAGCTGACAAGTTGCGGAAGACTCTAATAGGCAGGAGATACCTCATCGTATTAGATGATATATGGGAAGTCGAGGCATGGGAAGATTTGGGATTATGTTTCCCTAAGGGTGAAGATGGAAGTAGAGTGATGGTTACAACTCGAATTGAACAAGTGGCTAAGCATCTTCAACATCGCAGTGATCCTTATTCTCTTAGATTTCTAACATTGGAAGAGAGTTGGGAATTATTGATTAAGAAAGTATTTCAAGGAGAGAGTTGTCCACCCAATCTATTGGAAGCAAGTTTACAAGTTGCGGAACATTGTAAGGGATTGCCTCTTGTAATAGTCTTGATTGCCGGGATTATTGTGAAGATGGAAAGGCAGGAGTCCTTGTGGCTTGAGGTTGCAAATGACTTGAGTTCTCATGCTTTAGGAGAGCAGAGCATGAAGGTAATACAATCAAGTTATGAGCATTTAGAAGACCACTTAAA